GCATCAATTCTTCTAGGTCTTCCTTATTCACTTTCCAGCTTTTTCATGCATATGAAGTTGTTGAAAATGTCATGGCTTGGGTCAGGCGCACCTTATTGAGGTGGTCAAACCAAAAAATATGGTAAGTTAATACATTTGGTTCTATGTGAAGCTTTTATTTTGAAATTCTGCTATTTCCTTCAGAAGAGAGAGAGAAATACTATTAGGAAACAAACAATTTGGCTTTAATGAGAAAGGACAATAGTATTGTTGAGCACACCTGGTAGAATTTTTAAGTACTCAGAATGCGAGTTCTTCAGTAGTTTTATTAGCATCATTATCAGGCCCACCTCAATTATAACTATCAGATAAGATTAAAATAAAACAACAACACTGCCTTAGAAGTATCTTCCTTCCCCACCAGCTGAGAAACTAGTAATTTAGTGCCTAGCACATAGAGCTCAATAGATGTTAGTTTCAGGGAAATTCACCATGTGATTAGGTCAAATGTGTCAAAACTACTGAAACTACCTAGCATAAAAATAGGTCTCCTGTGCTACATTGTATTTAGAGAACAAATGACAGGTGAGAATTGAACTAATTTTCTGAATGGAAAGATAATGCAGAGTAACAACCACTGAAAAGCAGCTGGAAGAAATGCTTAAAGAAATGTTAAGTAGTTGAGCTCAGGCATGGAAGGCTATGAGATAAAAATAACAGATAAATAGACACTAGAGGGGAGGAGAAGCAGACTGAGGCCCCATGCATCAGAACTCCTGGAATGAGCCCGTGAACACAAGAGGTCCTGCTAATAAGAGCAGAACTACCTTGCACTCTGGTGCAACAAACAGCAGGTGAAATTAGAGCTGTAGGGCATCTTGATTAGAAGCTATCTGAATAATAGATAAATCGTTTGATAATCTCATCTTGCATGCTTTGTTCCAATGGGTTACTCTTTTAGAGATGTTGATTTTAGCTTGTCTAATCAACAGCACATAACAACAACAAGATGGCAACTAAAGCCTCAGTTTCTCCCTAGTACCCTGATAGAGTGAGGATACAAAATCTGTGAAGAGTAATTGAGTATTGGATGAATTAGTGGATGAAAGACTTAATTAGTTTAAAGCGATTTGATACTCTCCAGTTATCTTGCTTTCCATTTCTCCTAAAATCTTCCAGTTGAAAGATTATATTAATTAATATGAGAATTAAACATTGCCATTACCAATCCTATTTCTTCCTTTTCATTTCTTTTTTCCACACAAACCCTTATTACAGACACTTTTCACCGTGCACATTTTCCTCTTTAAAAGGTTTCATAAATTTTGCATCATGATGATACCCATTTGCTTTTATCTTTAGTCATTTCGCCCTCCTTTACCATCCTGTGCATACACTCCTCTCTCGATCTTATCTAAGCAAAAGTGCCCCATTGCAGCCATATGTATCTCTTGCTTGTTTCTCTTCTTTATCTTTGTGGTTATTCATGCATATTTCCATTGTCAAACCACCACTAGCTCATGTCCAAGGGATTACACCTAGATTTCCTCAAGTTTTAGACAGTGAATTTCCTAGGGTGCATTATTTATATTTTCTGTTTTAGTCTGTTAGGCAGTCCTATTTCCCAGAGTTCCTAACATTTCCTCATGACTAGGAAGTGATGCTACAGGCTAAAGCACTGAACCACAAGGTTGGTTTGAACTGCAAGGTCAGCAGTTCAAACCCACCTGTCACTCCTTAGAAACCCTAGACCGAGTGGCTATGAGTCGAAACTGACTCAGCCACAACAAGGATATTAACTGGTTATAAACCTGGAGTCGGTTCTGACTCATAGCGACCCTGTACAGGGTTTCCAAGGCCATAAGTCTTTACCGGAGCAGAAAGACTCATTGTTCTCTTTCAAGGATACTAACTAGCTATACATACATAAGTCAATTTCCCCATTAGTTTGTCAATTTATCAAAGTGACAGTTCATCTCTGAACCCTTGAGTACTTACCAGAGTATTACCATCTGTAGCCATCTATGATGTCAAGTTGGAAGAAATAAAAACTGAAAGAGAAAAAGATTTTCAGTTATTTATGGGATTAAAGTATTCATTAAAATCTATGTCTCTCTTTGAGGAAAAAAGGCATTTCTATTTTAATTTTGATTCTAATTTCACAATAAAACCAATCCATTAAATGACTTTTATCTCAGTACTTAGTAAGCCAATGGTTTACAACTGAGTTCAAAAAATGAACCAGAATTTCATATGCATATTTGCCAGTATTGTTTCAATTCTATGGGCACAATGACATGAAAGGAATCCTGGTGTGGCGCTGTGGGCTAATGTGCCAGACTGCAAAGCTGTTGAACTGCAAGGTCAGAAGTTCAAGTTCACCATCTGCTCCTTGGAAACCCTATACAGAGTCGCTATGGGTTGGAATCGACTCGACAGGATTTAACAACAATAACAATGACATGAATATGTTTTAATGTATATATATATATATTGTAATATATACAAATATTTGCAAAATAAACCTATTTTATCCGCATACTGAACAACACAATATACTTTGTGATCCCTTACTATGACCCTCCACCACTCCTCTGTCAGTGTGTTGCAGTGTGGTAGGTACTGTGAAGCTATGTTACCAACATTTCAAATATCAGCAGGGTCACCATAGTGGATCATTTCAGTAGAGTTTGCAGACTAAGGCAGAAGCAGGAATGGTGAGACTTAGTGTGAGGTACTTAGGACAGGCTGCCAGGAGGGACCAGTCCCCAAGAAAATAGGCAAAGTAGAGGATCACCAAAAAATAAAGACCTCCAATGAGACGGATTACCACAGAGGCATCAGGAACAAGTGAGAGGATATGCAGGTCTGGGAAGCGTTGTGTTCTGTTGTTCATGTAGGTACTGGTGGATTGGAACTGCTGACCTTGCAGTTAACAACCTGACGTGTAACCCACTAGGCCACCAGAGGTCCTCTATGGCTCTTCTACTAGTAGTCTTTGTAACTCCCTATTTTCTCCCTGCTAGTCCTGATAAGTGTAAGGAGCTCTGGTAGCGTAGTGGTTATGGGTTGGGCTACTAATCTCATGATCAGCAGTTCGAAACTACCAGCTGTTCTGCGGGAGAGAGATGAGGCTTTCTGCTCTCATAAAGATTTACAGCCTCAGAAAGCCTGTGCAGGGTCGTTATGAGTCGGAATTGACTCCACGGCACATCACCACCATGACCATGACCACTACCACCACCAGTCCAAATGAGGCGCTGCAGATAAATGTGCTGGACTTCAAAGTCAACTTGAATATGGTCAGCTGTTCAGGCTCACTAACCGCTCTTCAGAAATCTTATTCAGGATTGCTATGAGTAGGAACCTACTCAACAACACTTAACAACAACACTTCTAAGTAGGAGTCATGGTCTGACTCAGTAGGATAAGCACTGGACTGCTAACTACAAGGTAAGCAGTTCAAACTCACAGCTGTTCCTTGGAAATCCTATATAGGGTCGCTATGAGTAGGAACTGACTCCACAAAACAGTAGCACCCCTACCAACACCATTTCTGAGTAGAAGTCCTGCTGTGGCTCTGGAGGGATAAGCACTTGACTGCTAATTGCAAGGTCAGTGGTTCAAACCCACAAGCTGCTCTTCGGAAGCCTGATACAGGTTGGCTGTGAGTCATAACCAACTTGATAGCTCTTACCAATAGCAGTTCTTGGTAAGAGGAAGTTACACACAGAGATGCTGACAGGATGACATGGTTCCGTTGTGAGTGGTTAGTAGAGTTCATTGTAACTGTACAAACATGGAACTCGAACGTGGGTATAAAATGAGCCATCTCAGAGGCAGGAAGGCAGATGGGGAAGGACGTCACTATCATCCAAGAAAAAGAGCTGGGAATAGAGCATGTCCTTTGGACTCACAGATGCCTGTGCACCGAACCTCCCAGACCCAGGGACAGAAATCTGTGACACAGAGGAACAGCAGCAGCAGAAACAAGACCCAAGCAGGGACAGAGTCATGGACTTCCCAGTCCACTGAGCAACTAAAATGAAACGGCTTTTGGCAGGAAGATTCCTTGCAGAGTGATTGAGGGTGGGGTGGGGGAAGGCTAGTTTTGCTGACCCACAGAGCTAGAGCCAAGAGCCAAGTACCTCCAGGCTGGTAGTGTGGGGTTCCCTGTGGGCACTTATCAGCCACCCTGAAAGACCTCTGTGGTACTGCCTGGACTGAAAGAATCCTGCGGAAGAACTATGCCCTGAGCAGTCTGACCTTGACTTGTAGCCTGTTCCTTTCCCTAGGAAGCCCCTAACTGTGAGTGTAGAGCCTGGGTTCTGTGTGGTCATTGCAATAAATGATCAAACACAGTTCAGTAGAGGAGGCTGTGGGAGGGATAGTTCTTTTATACTGAAAAATAAAACACTCTGGTTTCAAGTAAAGCAAATGAAAATAAAAGTGGAAAATCCTATTTTCAGCCTATGACAAGCTGAAAATTTGTTGAACATCCATAGTTCCTGAAACTCCCATAGTTCCTAAAACTCCCACCAAAGCAGAGAGCCTGACAAACTGTCCCCAGTGGCAGCTCAGATGCCGACCCATACACATTTAACACTTTCTGTTATCAATTACTCCGAATTATAAGATTTGAGATCACCTGTCATTTATTTTTCCACTCATAGGTATTTCTTTTCTATAGTTAGTATTTATTAGTAAAAATAATTATATTCATACTTAATACTATAACTATTTATTGGGTTTTTATATTAGTATATTTTTGTATCTATTGATTGAAAGAATATATAATAATCAAAAGCTAGTTTGAATTCAGCAACATTTTTAAATAAAGAAGAAGATATACTGTAGAAATTTTTAGAAAGAGGTTTTGTTTTGTTTTTAAGTTTTTATTGTGAATTGAGTGAAAGTTTATGCACAGGGCAGATCATCAGTTTCACATTCAACACATCAAATACCTTGTTTCATAACAATGGTTATAATCCCCACCATGTACCATCAGTTAACAGTATTTCTTTCTATTTATTTTAGTTCTTTAAAAAATAAAAATAAAAATAACACTCAGGCATATATAATAATTTAAACCACCAAAGCACATTCTGTAAGTCTGCCTCCTGGTCACCAGCTCTCAGTCCCTCTCTTTCCATGAATCTAGAGTCCTCAGCTGCTTCCTCTCTCCATGTCCCCATATCTGCCTCCATCTCTGGTGTCACTGCTTCTCTGGATAAGGTCCCGCATTCCACTTGTACTCTTCTCCATTGATGGTCCTAGGGTCCTCTGTTTCTGGTCTGTAAGATTAACTAATCCCCAATTTTTGTTACAAAACTTCTACCTTTACAATTGTGACAGTCGCAATTAGTCATGATAACAATTACTCACTACTGAGTCATAAGGATATTATTCCACATCTCTTTTAACCAGACCCAGCTAGACAAGATGAAAACTATTCAGTGGGGACTCTATCTTTCCCCCCACATTCTTAAACTAAACTCCCTCTTGAAACCTTGTAAGCCAGTCACTTCAAGCCTTTACCACCCCTTCATTTTAGGTAGCCAATGTCTAAGTTACCCATCCCTAGGTACCCTGTATACAGAGGGGATAGCATTGATGTGAAGACTCCTTCCCTCTCTTAGTATTTTGAGCTACTACCTCTATGGGTATAGGTCAACTTCATCAAATTGTAGCAATTTACCCTCATTTCCTTTATCAAAAATGGTTTTATTTATTTATTTATTTTTATCTTCCTCTAGTCGAGTTCTGATTATCAAGCCATTGAGGCTAGGTTAAATTTTAGAAAGAGTTTTGAATCAATCTGGAATGGATTTAAATCTAGCTTGGCCACTTGCTAGCTGTGTAATATTGGGCAAGAAACAGATTTTTAGATCTTCTAACTCTCATTTTTAAAATGAGATAATAATCATATTTTCTTCTTAGGATTAGGTGAGAACTAAGTGATAAAATAAATTTATAATAACTCAATAAATTATTTGAATACCATAAAACATTCATTTCTTATATAGGAACGTTAACAACGTACAAGTCAGGTTCAGAATGCTCAGCGCACTAATCCTAACTCTATAGTATTAAAATTATTTGCCAGTGAGTGACCCTAACTCATGACAATTCTGTGTCAGTGTAGAACTGTGTTCCACAGGGTGTTTAATGGCCGAATTTTCCGTGGATTACCAGGCCTTTCTTCTGAGGTACCTCTGGGTGGACTTAAACCCTCAATCTTTCAATCAGCAGCAGAGTGAGTGCATTAACCATTTGTGTCGTTACAGGGTCTTCTTCCCTGTAACAATATTGTTGTCGTTAAGTGTTGTCGAGTAGGTTCTGACTCCCAGCACCCCTGTATAGGTTTTCCAAGGAGCAGCTGGTGAGTCTGAACTGCCAGTCTGTGCTTCACAGCCCTGATCCTACAGCACCACACCAGTATTATACTATACTACGACTCCATGGCACATAACAACAACAACAATGTAATATACTCTCCAACTAAGTTGTTGTTGTTAAGTGTCATTAAGTCAGTTCTGACTCATAGCAAACCTGCATAGGGTTTCCAAGGAGTGGCTGGTGGGTTTCAACTGCCAACCTTGTGGTTAACAGTCAAGTGCTTGTCCTACAGTACCACACCAGGACTTACTCTGTTTAGTAAGCCAGCAGGCTATGTTCGAAATACTTTTCATGCATCACATCATCTAATCATCAGAATCACCTTGTGAGTAATGTATTATTATTAGGCCTATTTCGCAAATGAGAAAATTTAGACAATTAGATGAAAATGTAAATGCGTCTGTGAGACTTCAGGCCCAGACTCAAGCGCTTGTTCTCTTGTGTGCCATGGTGCTATCCTGATTTCCTGACCGTCTCCCACAGGAGTTTGTTTCTGACTCCACAATGGCCATGGTCTCTCCAGTTGGACAATGAGAACATCTAAGACAAAGGCATCTTGGTATTCCAGTGCCTACTCCAGTGATGAGTACAAGTTAGGCAACATTAAAGTGACTTTTAAAAGG